TGGTGTTATCTGAACTAAATGACTCAGTAATTTCTAAATAGATTATTTAAGGTTTTTGTTGGAGGAGAGTGAGAAGACAAATAAAACAATGGCAAAGGAAGAAAAGGATAAAATAAACTGCTCAAGGGAAAGGCAAACTCGGACTATCAGGCAGAAGGGACTAGCAGAAGAGAATTATGAAAATGTAACCATACATATTTTTATAAAGATTTAGTTGACTTTAAAAATAAACTTCTATTAGCATGCAAATATTAGATTTCATAATTATATTTCTGAAACAAACATTTTGTGGTTCTGTTTATCTCCACTCTCGCTCCCTTCCCCTTTTATATCACCTCACACTTTGGTAGTTTTCTATACTTCACATGTGTCCTTTGGCATCTCTCTTTGTCAACACCTGTGATTCTCTGTCTCCTCCCCCACCTCAACACCACCAGCTCCAATGCTATCTTATCTAGTAGCAGGGCCTCAGGCACTCTCACATGGCTTTACTTAAGTACACACAAACATTCAAATTAGTTTCCACATAGGAGAGAGATCATATGATTTTTATGTTTCTAAATCTGCGTCAACTCAGTGTAATTGGAAAAGACAAAAGCCTTTACATAAGATGTATTAATGTATATAAGAAAACGTGAAAGAGGAATAATTAAAATTGACAGCTTCATCCAAACTGAGAATGAACTGTTTTTCCTTATACCCTCAGAGAATTAAAGTTGATACTAAAAGAATTAAACTGAAACTTAAAAGTAATTTATATTATTTCCATAAATCAGTAATTTTTGCTGCTGAGTAATTTGCCAGTGTATTTATATATAGGATTGGCAACTGAATTGTTTACATTTTAAGGAAAGTTTGAATCAAGATATTATGAAAATTTTGATACAAAATTCACTTATCTAGAATTTTCAATAGATATTTTATTTTTATAGATGAATATTATATTTACTTTCTTTTTCCACTCTTCACCTTCAATTTCTCACCTTCTTCCCAAAGCTTTCTCTCCTCTTGATATTGCTTCTTTAGAGTTAATAATCATGTAATTTCATATTTTTACATCACACACACATGTATCTCACTGAGTTTATTTAGTGTTGCTACTGTGCACATGTGATTAAGGTTGCCATCTCGTGTGGGATTGGATAATCTATCAGGGATCTTTAGAGATTCTTTCTGAACAGCAAATGCTGCCTATAGCTCTTTATCTAGGGATGGGGCCTTGTGAAAATTTCCACAGCCATGTTGGCATGTCACCTGGAATTATTGTTAGGCATATCTTCTTTGGGAAACCTCATTGTTGAGACTTTATGGACACAACTTCCATATGATGCACAAGAGACATCATATCACAGCAGACATCTTCTGCTGGCCCTTACAGTCTCTCTGCCATTTGGATAAGCTATCTATAACACTGATTGTCCTACATCCAAAAGATTTACTAAAGAAATACTTGCTCATCTGTGTTCACTTGCTCTGTTCATAATAGAAAATAGAAACAACCCAAAAGTACTTTAAGAATGGATAATGAAAATGTTGCACATATATAAAACAGAATCCTATTTAGGTGTGAATGAAAATAAAATCCTTGAATCTCTAAGCTTATGTTTAGAAATGGAAAATATACTGATATATATATATATATATATATATATATATATATATATGGAAGATGGAAAGATGATATATGGATAGAAATTTAGATAGATTCAGATGTAGTTTAAATGAAGTTAAGACATATGGAATGAATTAATTCTCTCCACAAGAACCATAGCCTATATAACAAATAGCCAGTACCTCCTTGCTATGCAAAACCTACTTTTAAATTCCTAGTAGTGCAAGATACTCTCAAAACAATTTAGGTAATTTCCATTGACCTGGGTTTATTTCCAGAATTTGAATTTAAGACTCTACTGAAGAAACCACAAACTTTGTACACATTCGTTGAAGTATTAGTCTGGAAATTACCTGGTAGTTTCCTCTCTGAGTACAGGCTTTAATATCCTTGGAAGGTTATATACAAGTTGTCAAAGGAGAAAAACAGATGAAAATTTTAGGGACCATGACAATGATTGTCCCAGTTAAATAGTAGCACTTTTATGTAGGGAATAGCCAATAACTGTTTAATTGGACTTAAGGCCTATTCAGTAGGAGGGAATATATGTCTCACACAAAAAACACAGCCAATGACCCATGATTGAAGAGCTTATAGATCCCAGAAAAGAACCTACACCTGTCATTTTCTTAAAACAATATAGATTACAACTGTATTATAAATTTTTATCTTCATACACACAGATAAGTTCAGATTTCATATCTTATCCACATTCCATTCAGAAATACAATTATGAAGCTCCTCACCTGGCCCAACTACAGAAAATAAGTGGCTATGGAGTACACAGTTCAAATCAGTACATCTAAAATAAAACACTTTTACCCCAGACACAGAAATGCTCTCAAAATCCATAGTAATATAAGGTAGTCATCAATCTCATTACAGGGAAAGGGCATCTAAAGTAGCCTCTCCACTATTCTTTAGATTCTTAGTTGGGGTCATCCTTGTAGATCTCTGGATATTTCCCTAGTGCCAGATTTTAGTTTATACCTTATATGCCATCCTAGAACCCTTAACCAGTAACTGATGGAAGTTGAAGGAGAGACCCACAGCTAAGCACTGAGATGAACTCCTGGAGTCCAGTTGTAGAGAAGGAGGAGTGATGAGCAAAGGGATTAAGACCAGGTTGAGAAAAACCACAGAAAGAGCTGACATGACCAAGAGGGAGTGCATGGTCCCCATACTGGCACCTGGGAAACCAGCATAGGACTGAACCAGGCCTCCTGAATGTAGGTGTCATTTAGGAGGCCTTGGCAGTTTATGGGGCCTTTGTTAGTGGAACAGTATTTATCCCTAGTGTACAAATGGACTTTGGGAGCCTCTCTTAGCTTAGACACATGGGGGAGGGCCTAGGCCCTTTTTTTTGTTTTGTTTTGTTTTGTGTTTTGTTTTTTTTTGGTTTTCGACACAGGGTTTCTCTGTGTAGCATTGGAGCCTATCCTGGCACTCGCTCTGGAGACCAGGCTGGCCTCGAACTGATGTAACAGACTTTGATGATTCTTAATGGAAGGCCTTACCCTCTCTGGGGAGCAGAAGGGGCATGGGATTGTTGGTTGGTGGTGGGCATGAGAGGATGGGAGGGAGAGGGAACTGGGATTGATATTTAAAATAAGTTTGTTTCTCATTTAACTAAATAATCTAGAGAAAAATAACATAGCAATGATATCTTCAACCACCAACATTATTAGTTCTATAAAATATTTAGTATGAACTGAGAAATATTTACATTGTGTTTTTGTAAAATAAATTAGTGTCATACATAAAAATAAATGTATGCTGCTTAGGCCCTACATTTAAGTTTTCTTCTCTTAAATTTCCTCAGTTTTGCAGCCTTAGAGTTAGTAATACACATGATTAACTCTTATATAATCACTATTTTGTAATGAAGTATTATCTTTTTATTATTTTCACCTGAATGAATTTGATTTTAATTATTTCTTTCTACAGTGAAATGCAAGCATGAGAATGAACAAAATCAAACAATATGTGAAGACACAGATTCAGTGCCATGTATGGCAGACAATGGAGAAAACTCAGGAGAGGTTCTGATAGTTCACATGCCATACTCAGTGGGTCTATGACTCTTTTCAGGCCATTTGAAGGCTTGTGATGTAAGGTATCAGCTCCAACCTTTGATCATCACAGCAAGAAAATGCTCACTAAGTGTTGGTCCTTGCAAATATTTTATAATCTATATTGTTCAAATGTATTTAAAGTTCATAACATGAGTTAAAATTAATAAAACCATGTCCAAATATTGAAATAAAAACAGACTTTTAAAAGAAGAAAGCCAGTTTCAAAGGGTGATTATGTGTTTTTCAAAATTTCCTAATAGCTAGACATCAAAGGGTAGCTTAAAACATAGTTATTAATTAACTTGGGATCGCAGAGAGGTATATTTATATAAACTACATTCAGGGATAAGACTTCTGCAATTGAATGTTGAATAGAAGAACATTAAACGTTGATAAGCTTATGAAACTGCAATAAAACTTTATGTGTAGTCAATATATACCTGAGCAATTTTCTCTGATCATTACTCTAACAGCCTTGTCCCACTCACAGCAACACAGCAAATAGAACAGGCTATGAGCTAAGGTAAGTCTCCAAGTCCCACTATATCTCTATGCTCATGTTTCTAAGCAAATATGTTTTGAATTTAATTGTGTTAGAAATACTCCTATTTGTAGTTTTAAAATCATCAAATAGTAAATGTATCATTCTAAGTATGTTGCTTGTTCTAAAAGTAGATGAACAAATTCAAATTTTATAAGATATAAGCATTTTTTTCTAGCTTGTAACACATTGTTTCAAATATAGGTGGAATCTTGGTATTGTTTAAATATTTTTGTAGCAGAAAATAGATTTGACCATAAAAAATACTGTAAAGCTTCAAGTATTGTGAAAGTATTTTTTATATATACCTGTATAGGCAGAATAGATTCTAGATTTTTTTCCATATTTAATTATTGCTAACAGAACGATAAACAAAGGAACTAATAGAAGTTATGGCCCAATTGGGTTTAACAGACATCTATAGAACATTCCATCCAAATAAAAAAGAATATACCTTCTTCTTAGAGCCATATGGAACCTTCTCTAAAATCAACCACATACTTGGCAACATAGCAAACCCCAACAGGCACAAAAAAAGTTAAAATAATCCCCTGTATCTTATCAGACCACCATGCTTTAAAGTTAGAATTCAACAACAACACAAATTGCAGAAAACCTACAAAATAATGGAAATTCTTTGTTTTATTATTGTTGTTACATATATAATTGCCCAAAGTTCTGCTGCCTTAGAAATTAATAGACAAAAAATTGTAATTAATTGTGTATTACTGAAAAAAATTACATTGAAGTATAAATTCCTTTCTTTCCTCAGATGGCAAAGAAGAAGTTCAGCGGATTAGAAATCTCTCTGATTGTCCTCTTTATCATAGTAACAATAATAGCTATTGCTCTAGTTGTTGTCTTAGCAACAAAGGTGCCTGCTGTGGAAGGTAAGTAATACTATTCATGTTATGGAGTAGACTGAAGTTAAGGGAAAGTAACTCCACAGTAGCTGTGTGTTAAAAACTCTATTGGTGCCAGAGAGGCTGAAGTAATGAACTAACTTTAAAAAGTTGCAAGTTGCCTTCTTGCTTTTATAACCATGTAATAGCACCAAAGCAATGCCCGGACCCAACCAATGAATAAATAAATGAGATCAAAATAGTTTTTAAAGAATTTATCAAAAGGCACACGAAATATGAAGAACTCAGTGTACATTACAAAACTGCTACAGCATTTTCTATCTACCAGAGTCTGATACTTTCAATGGAAAGGACTATAATTAATGAATCTGTGTACTTTGACATTAGTGGATTTCCCAGAAAACATTATTTAAGAATGAGAAATGAAGTAAAGAGGCAAAGAATTAAACAGGTGGAATAACTTGCCAGTGGGATATCACTTGAAGCCCATCTCATCCCTCAGCTTGGAGGATGCCTAGATTTTTGCTTAAGGTTTTCAGAAATCTGAGCAGTACATGGATGATACAGATAACATTCTCTTTGTCCTTGCTATTTTTGATGGAATGCAGTGTACACGACAAAGTACAAAATATGTGACTTAAGACTTCATGTTTCTAATGAACTTTTCCTATCCTAATCAGAGTTGCTGAACATTTACAATAATATGTAAATTGTCTCTTCCACTACCATTTTCTATTAAGCAAGTAAGGACTGAAAAGGATGTTATACATTATACTTGAGTCAAACATTAGTTACAGATCCTACAACTCTCACTATCATACCTTCTCCCTATTGTTGGCATCTCTATAAAGGCAATGTTCATCTCTACTAGAAATCAGACTATACATATAATTTTAAAATATTATTCAAACCTTTTGTTTTACTGTCCAAGGCTTGACATTTTAGGTCTCCTAAAATCAGAAATTGACTTCATTTTAATTATACACAAAATTAACCTACTTGGTAAACAAAGTATTCATTACTTGAAAAATATGCAAAATAATTTTTAATATTTTCTTCTTCCAGAACTTCAAAGTTCATCTCATCCTGGAAAGTGTCCCACTGAACCAAATGATCCTATCAATGAAAGAATAAACTGCATTCCAGACCAAACTCCAACACAGGTCTGCCAAAAATGATCTGGATGTTTTTAGGAATATATACAACATTACATAAAGATAACTGCTCAATATACTTTAAATCCGTATTATTATTTTTTTTTGGGGGGGGAGGTTTCGAGACAGGGTTTCCCTGTGGCTTTGGAGGCTGTTCTGGAACTAGATCTTGTAGAACAGTCTGATCTCAAACTCACAGAGATCCACCTGCCTCTGCCTACTGAGTGCTGGGATTAAAGGCATGCACCACCACCGCCCAGCCCTTATCGCCATATTATAAAAGATCTAAACATAAACTTTACTCATGCTTCCATTATCCCATTATTTCTCTGGATAAGCACATGACAGAATTGATATTGATGAGCCTGCTCTCAACTCCTTTGTTCATTTCAAATTGGGAGATTAATAACCATTCATATTTACCAAGCTATTGTTGATATTATAAACTTTTATAAAATTTTCATCACTCTTCCCTCTTCTTAATGCATAATCTGTGATAGAACAGGGCCCTTGAGTAACACTTGATCATAGTTTAAATCACATTATTTGTAGTGGTGGCATTAAGAAGAATTTCTAGAAAATTAAATATGAATCATTTTCAATATATTTATATTTTATTGTAGGACAATTAGCAGAGTAGCTGGTTGGATTCACGT